ACGAGTCTATAATACCACCTGTATGTAACACCAGTCTATAATACCACCTGTATGTATCACCAGTGTATAATACCACCTGTATGTATGTATCACCAGTCTATAATACCACCTGTATGTATGTATCACCAGTCTATAATACCACCTGTATGTATCACCAGTCTTTAATACCACCTGTATGTATGTATCACCAGTCTATAATACCACCTGTATGTATCACCAGTCTATAATACCACCGGTACATAAATATTATCTATAACAGGTACCTACACACTTGAAACAACTTTCTATCAATATCTATTTCAGTATAACTGTAATTTACCTCGAACTCTCATTTTAAACTATACTATATACTGTATATGATATAAATCATTGAATAATTCACTAACTGTCCGTGTACTTTATAGCAGCCATGTTTGATTATTTGATATTTAACGTTCACATGGCCAGTCCTGAATCAATATGTTACGGTTGTGACATATTAATTACATAATTCAACTGTCGCTATCTGTGCAGCCTCACAGAATTACATAACCTTAACTGTGGTATATCTACAGAACGTTTAAACCGTTGTCTTTTAGGCATGTTCTGGCTGTATCAGTTACTTTGTATATATGCGTACGTTTCGACATACACACATCCTCACATTGATGTCGTTTGTCTTTCAGAGCAGTTCTGGCTGAAAGTCAGATCAATTTACAATGGACATCACGTGATAAAGCAGAGTTTCACGATAGCTTGGTTGAAAAAACAGTCATTATCTAACTGAAAGCCATCTGAATTAATTAATCATTTTAGCAAATATTGCACTGATTGATGGTAATGCCTATCAGATGAAAAACAGCTCGCTTCACTTCTGCTAGTTTTGGTCACGTGATATGTGCGATACTTCAATTTTTTTCCCTGACCATATTTTCAACTTAAACAAAATTCTGTTTATGACATTGAGTTCTAGCACGTGATTTTAGAAAACGATGACTGAAGAACGCCTTACTGATCAGGTCCATGTTAACAATATGTTTCATATAATACATCCGTACTGTTAACGAGAGCATTGAATTGTGGGTATTTAATCCTAATCTGACAGGACAGTAATTTGTTGCATAAAGTATGTCTAGTAGACCGTTTTGCAGAAGTGGGTAGAGTTACATTGTAATTGACCACAAGAATGACCAGTTCATGTACATGATCTTGGTTGTAGCTGTAGGTTCATTGCTATCGACATTTTTTTTTTCTAAATCTCTCCCTCAAAAAAAGACGGCGGATAAACCTTACCATTTACCTGACAGCATAGGTTTAACATTCTAATCGCGTAATTTATAGAAAAGTTCAATCCCATTTGATATGCACTCAAATGTCATACTTAAATTTTGATAAATTCCGAAATTTCATTTAATTTATAAAACATGTCTGACAAAAAATATAAGCTTAAATTGAAAATACGACACATGTCAGATTGATTGCGGCGCAACATACATTTGGACTGTGAACCCAAACACATTCCAATAATATTAACTTAAACCATTTTATATGAATAATTTAAAGCTGACAATTAATCATATTTGATATCGAGAGTTTACATTGACAGACAAGTATCATTTCCGACAACGTTTCTCGGCAGGAAACACATACTTAGATAAGACATATGTATTCGTGTTGTCGATGACAGGTCGTAAAAACTTCAATATAAGTACATACATTTTTATAAAATACGTAGACGATATAGTGCCAGTGGAAAGGACCACAATTCATTGTGTGACACTGGCGTAGATATGAACCAGTATCCTTGAAGAACGAACGAGGGCGTTTCATAACAGGTACCCAATATAAATCACCACCTAATATGTCGGTCATGATGATTAGGGCATCTGTAGTGTGACTGGAATTGTCAGGATGTTGATGACACTTGTGAAAAATCCTGGAGAGGACAAGATTAAATAAATATTCACATATAGATACAGCTTCATCGTGTGAGGTGGTACTGGGGCAATCAGATGGGTGACTATTGTGTCACAACATACGTGATATGGCTGACCTATTTATCGACAAGATACGAATGTATATCTATATAGATCTATATCTATATAGGGCATTTACATGACCTCATATTGATAGCTACATCTGTAGAAGAAAGAAATACTATTTTATAGTGACGTTACTATCCATGTGATGCCTTGAAGCGATGACGTCACATATGAACCTCCAACCAGTCATAGCTCCGCTAGATATTCATAACGCAATTTAATTAATTGCTATTTTGAAACACTGAAATAGCCATGCTTTAAGCTTGTATTTAACAGATATAAGTAAATATTATCTTCGGTACAAAGAATTATATACATACAGCTGTTCCGTTCTTCTGTGACTCGGAAGTGATGCTAAGAGCTTAAATCGCTGAAACCTAAAAGACGACTAAGAAAACTCCAAATTGGTTGAAACGACCTGTCAAAGCCCAGATAAACCAGATGGAGGGATGCGCTAACCCCACAATTCAATCAATTTCACATTTTTCGGGGATGATTTATTTTAAATATTTTCAATCGTGTCACAATTTGATTAAATTAAAGGATATACAGATATTATTGTATGATAAACAGATTCTTTTTCTCATTACATGAGATATAAATTTAGTTATGTATCAAATTAGTATACCCTATCTCTGTATAAGACGTACTTCCTTTAGGTCTCGAACTCTATGTATAAGACAACAGACGCTCTTTGCATGATGTATTCTATAGATGTAAACTTACAGTACACCACTACCCATTAGCGTGTTGTTTGCTGTAACATAGTGTTTGACGTGTCTCCAATGTCAACAGATATGTTGATTTTATTCTTTTGACACGAAATATATGCTGATAACATCGCCTTTCCATCACCCCATTTAAACCTTCACGGAAATATGTTTTAGATTTACCCAGAATCTGATTCATTTCACTGATGGATGATACGTGTCCTCATCCCGTCTTTTCTCTCATTAAACAGTTGATGTATTAATTTTAGATTACTATTGTAGCAATGTCGCTTCCAGGTAAAAGGTACAGACAGGGCTTGGTAACAACATACAGATAGGGCTTGGTAACAAAATACAGATCGGGTTTGGTAACAAAATACAGATCGGGCTTGGTAACAAACTACATATCGGGCTTAGTAACAAAATACAGATCGGCCTTGGTAACAAACTACAGATCGGGCTTTGAAATAAAATACAGATCGGGCTTGGTAACAAAATACAGATCGGGCTTGGTAACAAAATACAGATCGGACTTCGTAAGAAATACAGATCGGGCTTGGTAACAAAATACAGATCGGGCTTAGTAACAAACTACAGATCGGGCTTGGTAACAAAATACAGATCGGGCTTGGTAACAAACTACAGATAGGGCTTTGAAACAAAAGACAGGTCGGCCTTGGTAACAAAATACAGATCGGGCTTTGAAATAAAAGACAGATCGGGTTTGGTAACAAAATACAGATCGGATTTGGTGACAAAATACAGATCGGACTTCGTAAGAAATACAGATCGGGCTTGGTAACAAAATACAGATCGGGCTTGGAAACAAAATACAGATCGGGCTTGGTAACAAAACACAGATCGGCCTTGGAAACAAAATACAGATCGGGCTTGGAAACAAAATACAGATCGGGCTTGGTAACAAAATACAGATAGAGCTTGGTAACAAAATGCAGATCGGCCTTGGAAACAAAATACAGATCGGGCTTGGAAACAAAATACAGATAGAGCTTGGTAACAAAATACAGATCGGACTTGGTAACAAAATACAGATAGGGTTTGGTAACAAAAACAGATCGGACTTGGTAACAAAATTCAGATCGGGCTTGGTAACAAAATGCAAATCGGGCTTCGTAAGAAAATACAGATCGGGCTTGGTAACAAAACACAGTTCGAGCTTCGTAACATGTTCTTGCTTAAACAATATATAAAGCTGGTGTCCAGAATAATTAAATCCGTGATGACTTAACTGATAGTCCGTAACCTTTTAAACATTTTCAATCGTGGAAATTGTGTGGACTCCATTAGCCATAGAACAGTTGACAAGAATCGACCAAGTCCATGGATTCAGAAGTCGAACGCCTCCAGGGACATTTGATAATAAGGGATTATTTGTTGATGGTAAACATGACATCTTTATTACACAAAATGTCTGACATAGAAAAAAAATCAATCCTCGTGTAAAGTGGGGAGAGATGATGTCATATGTTTCTTAGATATTACCTAGTTTATCAAAATATATGAATCATCTTTCGCAATATGTTGTAGGTATATGATACCTTATGTTCGATATAGTTGCATGTCGTGAATGCATCCTTGGTGTCGCCCTATCATATGTTTCAGTTGCTAGTCAGTAGTTGATACTCAGTTTTACGATTTAGCTGTGCAGTAAATTATTTTAAACTCTTAAGGAGACAAGAGCGGGATGTGAACGAAGCGGACAATTTTACCGATCTCACGGCGTAATTTATATTCACAATTTCCTAATCCACACGACTCTTGCGAAATTGGTTGGTATTAATTGACTGCTAGGGCTGCGTAAAAATGTTCTTAACGAAAAATCCATTATACAAAGTCAAACACCCGGCACAATGAGCAAAGTAAAAGTATGAACAACTGTTATTTGTTTTACGTCATGGAGCCAAAAGTGACTTTCAAGACAACGTGATCTACAAAAAGAAAATTCGATATTTGTTTGAATAAACTACGATAAAGGTGCAGTTCGATGCATAACGACGTCTATTTGTTTATCTAACTGAAGAAGTAAATATGCATTCCGTTTGATATCTGCAACTACTGTTCGATGAAAATCATTGCTGGTCATACCTAAGAAAACATGATATGGCTGATTTTAAATTAAACTGCTCGAGCAGATCATGAAAAAAATTCCGTCTGGAACATCTGACGACTAAAAACGTTATTTGCCAAATAGTGTGCTAGGAACATTTTCATGCAATAGTTTGGGCAGTTTATGTAACCACAAATCTACTCTGGAGCCGTACAGGTGCTGTTCTTGTGTGATAGTGGTGTCCATACTACAATATTTCTGACTGACTGCCTCATAACTCTCCCATTCAGGTAGATCGTCTGAGTTAGGATTTCTGGAAAAAAAAAGAATACCGGAAATATAGCTAGTTCATTATTTTTTATGTTAATACAAATTGTAGTAAATATTTCTGGCCATAATATCTATCATTGAAAATATACAGGATGATAATTGATCTCTTGATGAGTCATTTTAGCTTACCCAGTTTTGGCGAAGTTGGTCCAGTACTTGAGGATGGCCGTTTGCAAACCAGCGTCTTGTTCAGGTACAGTAACGATGTGGTTATCCTGATAGTCGTAAATTCGAAACAGGTAATATAGTTCGGCCCCATGCGCCGATCCGTTCTGCCACCAAGGGGGATAACCTTTAGTTAGTGATGGATCTGGTATTGGCCTTCTAAACACATATTGATAAGTACTAGATGAAGAGTTTCCCTCTGAATGATCTCCGAGAATTTTGATAGTCGGAGTGTAGTACAGGGCGTCGGAGTAGGCATTCAGTGTTTGTTGTACCTGTTTAAACATGTCTGCCCTTCTATAGGCTGAACATAAAAGGGTTTCAGCTGACGTACTGTTAACTTCATTTTCGAAAAAAGCATTTAGTAGAGCTGGCCCAATTTCGTGGCAAAACACGTCAGATGGCACACCGTCGGAAAAATTGAAATTATCCTCTTTTGCTATTGATGGCAATAATGATAAGAAAATTGAACCTTCTGTGTCTACATTTCCGGTTATGAAATCGAGCGAATGGAAGAAAAGGTAACTTCCGGAGGTCTGATTTTTTATCATTTCTGATGGCGGCAAGGGAAATAAGTCTCCATCTACAACCGGTCCCATACTTAAGTCGAACTCAAGTGTCTTTCCTACGCTTGGTGTTTGTGTTACAGAAGTTTGAGCTTGTAGCAACCTTTCGGCTGGTATATCACGCATACATTTTGCATATGACGTTGTATTCGAACAACCCAGAGCGGTGCCTACATCCTTTGCATATGTATATGCATTTTGCCATATTGCAAAGTGTCCTTCAACAACCCCACTTTGCGCAATAACTCGATGGAACAATCCTTTATTATTTGGAATAATTGACTGTAGCGACACACTGAAACCACCAGCAGATTGGCCAAATAATGTGACCGAATTAGGATTCCCGCCGAAATCAGCTATGTTTGCATGTACCCATTGCAGTGCTAAACGCTGGTCCCACAGACCGTAGTTTCCATTCAAGCCTTGTGCAGGATTAACAAGAAATCCAAACACACCAAGTCTGTAGTTGATGATAACAACAATGACATCTCCCGCCAGTGCTAGATAAGAACCATCGTACAACATGCTCTGCCCGACAAGGAAACCTCCCCCAAACACAAATACCATCACCGACCTGTTTGTACTCCGGGAAAGAGTTCTAGGGATGTATATATCTAGTGTCAAACAATCCTCAGACTGGTTTGGGTTTGGTAGGTATTTGTCTAAAATGGAATGTTGTTGCAAACATGAAGGTCCAAATGTCGTGCAGTCTAATACACCAGACCAACCGCCATGTAAGACTGGCTTCTGAAACCGCAGAGAACCGGTCGGTGGTTCGGCGTACGGTATACTCCTAAACTGATAGACGGTCTCATTCCTGATGGTTTGCACTATCCCTTGTATGTCACCCAGTCCCGTGTGTACTCGGATAGATTCATGACATTTTGCGGTGGTCAGTAAAGTAGTGGCAACTAGCACCGTCAGTTGGACAGCTCTCATGATCTGTAACAAATAGTTTTCTACACTCTGAGGTCTTCTACACGGATCAAATAACATCGTATCATACAAGCAGAACATAAATTGTGACAACATGCATCGTGTTAATAAGGTTGATTGTAAAATTCGTATATTTAGGTATGCTAAAAAGATTAGTATGGTTCACATTTATTTTTCATCATGCAGTGAAAAAAAAAGATAATTTCTCTTAAAAAATGACTTATTTCGCATAAGTTGAGGAGTTTTTTGACAGTTTTTCATAAATGTGCACGGATCTTCCTCATGTACAATTATATCCTCAACAGATGTATGGCATAGTATTATTTTAGTGTCACTCAATAACTATCTTTAAACTACAGAATTAAGTGTATATATGTGTTATTCCACTCTCTGATCATCTTTGGCAATATGATATGGGAATCAATTCGGATCCAAGTTTTAGTTCGGTGTCTCTTGCTTATTTGCAATTGACCAAATTTGCTGGATTCTTAAAGAGACCTCTACTCATCGCTATCCTATCAATAATGACACGTCTGGCTAATTAGACAGATGCCAGCACAATATGACTATGATACCGCGCCCACATTATGATAATGACTCTTGTGTGACAACGCTTATGACTATAACTGTTGGATGGACAAGAACCAACAAAGCGACAGTCATTAAAAATTAGTTTAGATAAAGTTATTTGAACAGTGGTGATTCCGAAATCCTCTAGGCAATCATGTGTCCTCTTTACTAACAGAAGTTGTTGGCGTCTGTAAAAGAACTGTTGTTATAACCGTACCTTACTCTTATGTCTAAAAACGTAAACATGAAGTCCTCATGTAGAAGATTTCGTGCTGAAACAAATCTCTGTCTTAAAGGGTTAGAGGGAGAGAGATAAAAGAATTTATCTTCGCTCAGCTACTGCATTACAAGCACCATCTGTTGAAAAAGGAGCAAAATACTTGTAAGTAAAGCAATTACTTTATAGCTGATAATTTTCAAGGGTAATAATTTTCGCGATTTTCTTTAAAATTATGGAATTATATATATATATACTTGCATAACATCAATTGATAGATTGAAGAAAGGTAGAACTTCCTCTTAAATCAGGCTGTACAAAGTCACACTAGTGAATAGCGCCTTTCAACACAGAGGGATGTACGACAGCCACACAAGTGATAGCACCTTTCAACACAAAGGGATGTACGACAGTCACACAAGTGATAGCACCTTTCAACACAGAGGGATGTACGACAATCACACGAGTCATAGCACCTTTCAATACAGAGGGTTGTACGAAAGTCACACAAGTAATAGCACCTTTCAACACAGAGGGATGTACGACAGTCACACGAGTCATAGCACCTTTCAATACAGAGGGTTGTACGAAAGTCACACAAGTGATAGCACCTTTCAATACAGAGGAATGTACGACAGCCACACAACTAATAACACCTTTCAACACAGAGGGATGTACGACAGTCACACAAGTGAATAGTACCATTCAACACAGAGGGATGTACGACAGCCACACAAGTGATAGCACCTTTCAACACAGAGGGATAGCACCTTTCAACACAGAGGGATGTACGACAGTCACTCAAGTGAATAGTACCTTTCAACACAGAGGGATGTACGACAGTCACACGAGTCATAGCACCTTTCAATACAGAGGGTTGTACGAAAGTCACACAAGTGATAGCACCTTTCAATACAGAGGGATGTACGACAGCCACACAACTAATAGCACCTTTCAACACAGAGGGATGTACGACAGTCACACAAGTGAATAGTACCTTTCAACACAGAGGGATGTACGACAGCCACACAAGTGATAGCACCTTTCAACACAGCGGGATGTACGACAGTCACACGAGTCATAGCACCTTTCAATACAGAGGGTTGTACGAAAGTCACACAAGTGATAGCACCTTTCAATACAGAGGGATGTACGACAGCCACACAAGTGATAGCCCCTTTCAACACAGAGGGATGTACGAAAGTCACACAAGTGATAGCACCTTTCAACACAGAGTGATGTACAACAGTCACACGAGTCATAGCACCTTTCAATACAGAGGGTTGTACGAAAGCCACACAAGTGATTAGTACCTTTCAATACAAACGGTTGTACTAAAGAAAAACAGGTGACACTTAAGCATACGGAGAGTACTATTCTATATGCTATGATAAAGAAAATAAAAATCTTTGATATAAGCCCAATATTATTCTATATGCTCTCAAAAGGCTAATAAAAACCACCGATGTACTAACATTACTATTCTATTTACAATAATAACACACACTGCCACCCACTTCATTACTTTGTGATAAAAAGGTTTATACGTACCACAAATCTACCACATAGACAGAATACTGATAGATCGTTACTGAATTTGAGGTAAATGACATTCAACAACGACAAATGGCATTCGTAGTCAAGATAAGATATTAACTGGAATGTTTGCTGATAAATAGTACTATAGAGCGGTGAAGAGATACGGGACATATCTGGTCCCTTTTCAGTGCCTCTTTGGATTTTAGCTCTTTTCGTGCACGTGTTATTATTCACGCTCAAGGATTATTTTTTATTCTACAGGAACATATGGCATCGCTTATGGGTACTCGAAAATAGATTTTATAATTCACAATGCATTTAAACAAAAACGAAACGACAGCCGTTGAGATTTTCAGTGATGACCAATAATTTTGCTGCATATTTCTATACATATTCAGTAAAGCAACTACTGTTGGGTCAGGAAATAACACATTAATACTTATCCTAGCCACGGGAATCACTTATTATTATTATTTACTAACGAAACACTTTTTTGTTTTGAATTAGAATATACTCACCGCCGTCAACAAAATTTTGATAAATGTAATCATTTGGTATAAAAAGAAGCATGATTGTATACTTGAAGTATCCTCTCATTAACTAGAGAGTTACACTCAGATTAAATGTAGTATTAAATACATTAATATACAATAAAAAATATTCTATACATAAACCAAATGTGTTAAGCAAGATAATGTTCTGTACAAAGCCGGGCTTTAAGTACAACAATATATTCACTCTTTCGTCCAAAGGAAAGTCATCCTTTAATGAAAATGAATATAAAGTGGACTTCTTTTGATGCATAGGCAAATTTTATCCGTTTTCAATAAAACCATTCCTACATCCAATTCAAAATTATGTTTTGATCCCATGTTCAGATATCGATGTCTTTTCATGTTTACAGTACATTAACGTCTTTAAGTTTTAAGTATAAATCAAAGCTGGGCTGTTACAGAGTCAATGTTCCTTAATATGTACTTCAATTAAACTTACAATATAATTAATAGACGATATCAGTTATTTGCTGATGGACATCGATGGAATTCTGTTGATTTAGTAAACATTCATTTTGCACGATAGCAAAGCACAGGGAAATAATGAATTACTTTCACGTGATTCAACAAACACATGCCAATCAAAAATTGTCAATACACAAAAAGATATTAAATAATACTAACACAACCAACCAGGCCATCAAAACATAAAATAAAAATAACACCGGTATTATCAAGACTCTTCAGTCTTATTAGGATTCAATCCTGTGAACGTTTTCTTTCATATCTAATTAAAGTAGTAATTGTCATATTTAAGTATCTGTCCCAGTATGAAGAAGCCAATCTAAAAAGCACCTACGTATAAGCTACAAATAAAAATATGTTAACAATATGAAATCATAGCATCAGAGTAACAACTCATTAGAATAATCTTGGAAAAGGAAATCAAATCTGTAGCAATATGTGTGACTATTTTCACATCCGGTATCCTGGAAATCGTATACTGGGAAAGGTCATAGATTATCACTATGGGGATATCAAGTCTTCATACAGCAGTATGGAATTGTGCCAATATTGTTGACAAAATAAATAAAGGTCGAGGTAAGCGGCAGGAAAAGATATCAAACATTTTGGAAGTATATCGGATAGATATGCTAATTAACTTTCATGTGATTTAAAGACAAGATATCCCCACCTTTGTGACATTTAATGAGTTACATTTCTGTCATGCCTGAACGTCAGCCAAGAGAGCAGCACAATTAGACCTCATGTTGATAGTGTTTATGATGATCTTGCTATCAAGCTGAATGAAGATATGTGTATTGTTAACCAGAAATCTCATTCATCAGTAGCACAATTAGACCTCATATTAATAGTGTTTATAATGATCTTGCTATCAAGCTGAATGGAGATACGTGTATTGTTAACCAGAAAGCTCATTCATTTGAGCACATGACATCATTTACCTGGATTGACAAAGACTTAAAGGGGATTCGTCGATGAATCAGAAGACACTCAATCTTCCGTTTGTTCATATTTTGCCCTAGTTCTATCATTTCTATTTTGGATTTCATCTGATGCTATAATTGTTTTTTTTATAATGATGCTTTTAACTGATTTTATACTCTCTGAATCCATCGCAGCATGTTCACGTACCACGCAAACGCATGTCAGCTTTTAAATGGGCTTTCCAGCAATATTTTCCATAAAGGTCGCCTTGAAGTTTTTTTTACCCTTCGAGACCACTCACCGATACACTGATTTGTGCCATCAAAGTTAGTTCCCTTGGCTTTACATTAAATTCCAATTAATCGATGACGCACTTGCCTGATTACCTAATTACGTAACTAAATTACTAAACTATAAACGCCGATTTCCACCAAACAGGAGAAAAATAACCAATTATTTAGCGAAATAGGAAAGTTCGAACTGTAACCTAAATACCAAAATACTATAACAGTAAATATGCCGCCAATATTATTGATTTTTAAGCATTTTGTGAGAAAAAAAATCAATATTTGTGAACAAATGACATTTTGAATGTCTTTCATATTCAGTCCATTCAAAATTATTTAGCTTATAGATAATTTATCTCTTATCCTAACCCTGTCCAAAGATCGAAATTTCACCATTTATGCAAAATGTTGACTTTTTGACTCTGATGTGTATCACTATAATGACTTGTTGGACGATAATGGACATAGGAGACCACCCGGTTACATAAATCCCAAACATTCATG